CTTAGGTGTCGGTGTGTGGTGTCAGTGTGTGGCTGTGTCCTGATGAACGATTCTGCAGGTGTCAGTGTGTGGTGTCAGTGTGTGGTTGTGTCCTGATGAACGATGACTGGAGGTGTCAGTGTGTGGCTGTGTCCTGATGAACGATGACTGGAGGTGTCAGTGTGTGGCTGTGTCCTGATGAACGATGACTGGAGGTGTCAGTGTGTGGTGTCAGTGTGTGGTGTCTGTGTGTGGTGTCAGTGTGTGTTGTCAGTGTGTGGCCGTGTCTTGATGTACGATGACTGGAGGTGTGAGTGTGTGTTGATGATGAGCGATGAACGATTAATTGGGCGACACACCACACCATAAAAGACGTGATTTTGAGGGTTTTTTTTTTTTTTAATAGTCCGGGAGGCGTAAAACTTAGTGAAGAGTAAGGAGAGTTGTTTGAAGATTGAATAAAAATATAAAAGGCCTTTGCTGAATCTGTAAAAGTGTACTCTTGGGCTTATTTTCATTTCGAGGTTGATTTTCTTTGGTTCTCATTTGATGATGTCGCCTGGACGCCATATTGGATATCATACAAAGAGAAATTACTCTGACATGTGAAAAGGTTCTGTCCCACAGAATTCTATTCTCCCTCCATCATTTGTGTGGCAGCGTGGGGAATCCAGGCGCTTTTCAAAAATAATAACATTGAAGAAACAGGCGATTTTCTGTCGGTTTGGCAATGTTTATCCAATTATTTTTTTTAGCGAAACATTTTTTTGTCCTTTTAAAAACACATTTCTGTTTGGGATTCTACTGAAAAACATTTCTCCAGATATGGAATTCATCAAACTTTGGCGGCAATTTAATTCTGTCTATTTTTATCCCTGAACCCGGGCGAGCCCCACCTCCTTCCATCGCAAATATCTTGACTTCTGTTGAATATAGAAGATGGTTACTTTTTGCACTGAAAGCAAGACAAATGAACAAGCTTTAAGACGATACAAATAACTCCGTATGCCCAAATACACGTGTTAACGAGCGCCTGTTTCCACCGCGTCGTGACACATTTGGTATCAACATAATAATTTTGATTTGAGCAAGGGGGCTCTCGTGGCCTAGAGGTTAAGGTGTTGGCCTCTCATTCAAAGGTCCCGGGTTCGAATCCGGGTAGCGACCAAAACATTTTTTTCTCTAAAATTGTCTCCTTTCACCTTCTTTCCTGCTATCTAGCAATGTTCTGTTGTCTGCTTTCATTTCCACTTTCTGCCCCCACCCCCTCACCTCCTTTGCAC